ACACACTTCTGACAGGTTGTGTGGTGTCGTTTGTTTGGGTTGCTGATTTCTGAAAATGTAAATAAGGTTTTTATAACATATGCTCTATGATACTATGGAATTATATTATTCTGGATGATACTTATCTTTCCACAATACATTATGACTTAAATTATACCGTCAGAAGTCTTACGCTAGTAGCGCATGTACTTGATAGCATGTGAGTAAAGTCAAATATCATGTGTAGAGGTTTGTGTACAGTGGATGGTTTCTTCCGATTATGTCTCGATAAGAATATAATACATATATATTCTTGAATATTATATTGGCCATTAAAGAATTTAACGATGAAGTACAGGAGGTATATTGGAAATATAGCTTAATACTTATTCGTATGACTCTGAGGGACAGCCTGCTAAGAAATATTTAAAGATTATCAGCGAAAACATGTATGCCATTTATATGAAATCCAGGAAGTGAAACTTATTTTTGAACTACGTTCTGTCATATTAATTTCTAATTAAGGGTATATATCTGATTAGGCGAATTTGACACACTTTCTTTTGTTTTGGTTTCTGCCTCTTTTCTCACTTTTTGTTTTCTTCTACTTGCCATTTTGTTAAAGTTCTCTCTCTCTTTCTCACTATTTGACTGTGATATTTGTCATCTTTATCCAGAGGAACATCAAGAACAGATGCATATAGGGTATTGCTCATAATGAGAACAATAACTCTGAAAATTATCGCTCGGAAGAGATTGTGCACATCTGAAATTAGATTTCGTAGAAAGATTTTTTTATTTTACTGGCGTGAGGTAATAGATGGTATAATGGCTCAACTGGTAATTTTTTATAGAAAAGGAAATAGTAATAGATCTCTCCGCAAAAATCAATCAAAGTATTCAACTTAATAGTCAGAAAATTTTTCATAATAAAGTCTTTATACTTAAAAAACACTGTACCAAGTTAAATGCATAGTAGTGTAGCACTTTTTTTCAGGTTAACCAGGTCATTTTTTATTTTTCATGCTAAAATTTTTGAAATAATTTTGAGGGGTATTTAAGCTTAACAATATTAAACTAAAAGTGTGAGCATACGTACGATACTTAAACTAATGCCGAAAACCATATCTCGTATCTGAATCCTTTTTGGAATTTAGGACTGCTATGACTTCACATCACCGTATAGTAGCTCGTGTTATTCACTGTTGATTTCAACTAGTAGTTTAAATTTGACCCCAAAAACAAGGGTTTTTCTGTATAATGACTTGGTGTAAATATATAAAAACATGTATAGATAAATATATCAGGGGATGTTTGGTTATGAAAGTATGGTATAGAATAGTAGTGCTTTATATAACCTGT